CTTTGGGAGGAGCCTTGACATACTTAAAGTCATACAGTTTAATTGGTAGCAGAACAAGAAGTAGAGTGCTGATTGCCCTTTTTAAACATGAGAGCCTTTTTTGGACCCAGCCAGCCAAGTGTCAGACAAATGATTGAAAACTTAGAAGTCGTCGGAAATCTGGACTAAGACCCCCCTCTTGAAAAGTAAGGTGGTCCCTATTTATATTCTTAATAAATGATAGTAACGTGAATGTATGTTTTAGTCCATCCCTGCTGCTTGAAAAGGGTTTGATTTTGGAGGCCTTCATTGGAATAATTTTTAAAACAGCTCTTAATAAATTATCATGTGCCAGACACTGGTGTAATCAAAACCTGACAAGAGTCCAGTGGTAGGGACTGACACCCTCAGTTTGCAAGTGAGAAAACAGTGTAACTTGCTTAAGGTCGCCTAGCAGTTTGGGTAAATAGGATTGGAACCAAAGCAACGAAACCACTGTCTTCTGCCTCTTCCTCTGCTAAAATTAAATTAAATTAAAATTTGGTGTGTGTAAATTACTTGAATGTCACCAGCCAACTTTGAGGCTGAGAAAGTCTTGCAGAGTGCTAAGAGATTTTGTTCTGTTTTATACATAGGAAAATGAAGAGGATGTTTTAAAATAACCAACCGGGCTGTGATTAGCTGCTTTACTGCCTGGGCCATTCCATCTCTCTTCTTGCCTTCTGTGTGCTAAAGGCTAAAAGCCTGGGGATTCTTTCAAGAGAAAAATTATTTCAAATTGGATTGATAATCATAATTAAATAGAATGACTGCTGAAGAATTAGATAATTTTATTGAACTTTACCTCTTCAGATAGTGCAAGAAAAATTTGTTTTCTCTTTTTCCTAATGCAAGAAAATTTTAAAGCAATTTCTTTAAGTCTAACCAAATCATTTTTAATTTTGTGCTTTTACTGTATGTGTTTGTCTTTTATCATAGTCTGAATCGAAAGTACCAATGCTTGTCATTTTTTGGTTGCCGAAATTCCAAAGTTTAAATCTGTCATTATTAATAAACTATAATTTCTCAGGACAGCACAACGTTGTTGAAAGCTCCAGCAGATGTAGTTTGCATTACATCCCTTGCACAACACCACCGAAGGCCTCGTTCCCTTGAAATATTATTTGTGCTTGCAGTGAGTCACTTGTGAACCATTCATTTCACTTCCGTTAATCAACTCTAAAACTTCAAAAGAATTTTCTAGACTAAATTTAATTTAATTTTAATGACTTAAAGATGACAAATTAGTAAAGTTATTGATACCAAAACTGATTTCTCATACTCTGTCAGCAGTTACTTGCTTTTTGTTGAGTACTAATCATTGTTCTGGACATGAATAAAGCAGGCAGAACTACCTTTGATCACCTGTGCTTTAATATTTTGATAAAGCTAGATGTGCTTGTTACCATACTGTACTGTTGTTTTCTGGGTAGTACGGTGACCATTGGGTGAGGCTTTGCAGCCAGGACTAATCTCTGGAAAGCAACACTGCAAGCTGGGTGTCTCACAGGTCTCTCTCCTCTCAGACTATCTATGAAAGTTTGTTTGTTACTTTTAAATCTTATGTATTTGCAAATCATTTGATTGGTGTAAAAGAATGATGATTAAGCTGTATTTATAACAAAATATCAGATATTTTACATTTCCATGTGTACTAAAAAGTATGCCCCAAATTTATACAAATTCCCATGATTCGTCTCTTTTGTGGCAAACTGAGTATTGTCTGTTGAATTTTAATTCCTTAAAAGGACAAAATAGGGAGATTCAGGTTTTCATACAATTTCTAAAGAAATGGCACAGAATATACATCTGGACCAATGAGATAATCTGTCTTTTTAGTGACGAGTGCTGTGATAACATACAAAATGAATAATGCATATTTGTAGGGCCTATAAATGGCTAGTCATAAGACTTCACTTCTTGGCATAAGCGTTTGGATTCCTGCAGGCCTGAGTGTTCTGATTTGGAAATGGATCACACTGCAGATTTTGAAAGTGAGCTGTGTTATTCCTGACTCCTTCAAAATATATCCCTCTGACCTTTCGGTTCCTTCTGCCTTCTCTGCAGCTGTCACAGCCAAACTTCGGTGAAAGTACGTAGATTAATAGTAACGCTCTTTTAGTGATCTGTTTTCCTTTCCCTCTCCCCAAACTAGTTTTAAACATTTTGTTCCAGGATTTATATAAACCTCTTGATAAAGCTATTAAAAGCTGCACAACTAAATATTTATAAAAGTTTTTGGGGAAAAAAATCTATTTTTGTATTTCTACTCTAATATTTATAAAGTGATTTGAAGACAAAAATACCTAGTAGAAGCTAAAAGCAAATGCTGGTGATTATTAATAATACTGTTATATCTGCAGTAGTGTCCATTGATTTATAGCTAAAAGAAATCCCTTATCATATCACAGCTATTTTTTTCCTTTTGGTGAAAAATTGTTAGATGGTGGAACAGTGTCTTTACAAAATTATCAAATTACTGGGATTCCATTTTTTGATAAAATGGCATTTTGATAGTATAATTTTTTTTTTTTTTGGTACCGGGGATCGAACTCCAGTCCTTGCGCTTGCGCAGCAGGCGGTGAAACCACTGAGCTAAATGCTCGGCCCAGTATAATATTTTTAATCAGAGCCTTTCATCAAATCAGCTATTGAGATTAAATTAAAATCCTGAGCTTATCTTTTCAACAAGTATCCAGGAAGTCAATATGTCTGGTGAATTTGTGTGATTTGTAAAGACCTGAACTTTTTGGTGCCTCTTGAATTTTTTGGGTTGCAAAATTATTAAATTTCTCCTCACTCTTGATTTTAAATTTACAAAATGAGGATGCTTCTTTGGCTTTTGCTGGAAACTGAAGTGGCTACAAAGTTGCTGTCTGTAGAGGATGCTATTTGTGTTTAAACAGCAGTTCTTTCATTCTTGATCCCAACAAGGTGATGAGGCTGAGATGGGAAGCAAATCTAAGGCATGGTAACATTTTCTAGTTTAGAAATGGTTCCCCATCCTTGCCCTGGATTCTGCTGATTTCCTGAGTGGTAGAGGTTAACATCTTTTTGCAACCACTTCTTCAGATTCTGAGTTGGTTTTGGAGTTGGGGAAATCTTTTATTAATATTAACAGCGGTGATAACAAGGGTGAATCAGTGGTGTTGGTTTCTGCCAAGGTACAAATGGTTTTGTGTATAGTAATTCATTTATTTGTAATGCATTTATTTTTAGACTAATATAGCCACAGATTTAAAGCCAAAACAATTTTCCCTGTTCTTCACACCCCATAGGTGACCATGTTTATTACTTTCATATATACTCTGCCTGTGTTTCCTTTGTGTGAATCCAAATATTTATTATTGCCCACCTTTCTAAATACATAGTGTTCTCTTCACATATTCTACACCTTGCTTTTTCTACTTAATTATATAACTTGATGATCCTCCCACATCTTTATTTAAAGTTTCTCTTTTAAATGACACAGCTACATAGTGTTCCATTGGGTAGATATGCTACTAATGATTCTTTGATGTAGCCTTTCCAACCAGTTCCTAGTGAGCTCTTGGGTTATTTACATTTGTTTGCTATTAGAAATGATACTGCATTATCAGCTATTCCCCCCTCTAGGTATCTTCCCCAAAGAGTGAAAGACATCACATTACAGTGATAACATTCTTACCCCTGTTTATAGCAGCAGGATTCATCATAATAGCTAAATCTTGGAAGCAACCTCTATGTCCATCAGCAGATCAGTTGATAAAGAAAATATGTTTACACTCTATGGAGTACTACTCTGCCAAAACAAGAGGATGAATTTAAGTCATTTTTTAGGAAAATGGATGCATCATTGAGAACATGATATAAAATAAATCAGACACAGGAGCTTAAATATCTCATAGTTTGTCTTATATGAGAAACCCAAAGTATAGATAATGAGCGAAATAAAAGATAGATAATAGGAAGTAGGGAAGTAGATCTTTCTCAAGGAAGGGGATTGAGCCAGGCATGGTGGTGCCGACTGTAATCCCAGCACTTGGGAGGCTGAGGCAGGAGGATCACTGCAAGTTGGAGGCCAGCCTGGGCTACATGGAAAGGCTCCCTTTGCGTGGGTCAGCAGGCATTAACTAACACTCAGGATTGTTTCAGCTCTTCCTGTGCTTGATGATTCCTTCTGCTGTGGGTACACCCTGTCGCTGGTCTTGGCCTGCCACCTCGCCCCACACCTGGATTTCCAGGCCTCTTGCCCTTTTAGTTGCCTCAAGAATGTTTGGGTGTGTTGTGGTTTTATGGTTCCTAAAACTGTGATGTCCATTCCTGGTGTCCGTGTGCAACTGGCCTGCAAAGAAGTTCTCAGTGCTACGGAAGGTAACCGGCTGCTCAGGATCTGGCGGCGGTGGCAATCTTGTGGCACATGTGCCACGGCAGGCCTGGGGAGCCCCCTGTCGGCATGAGGGACGAGTCACCCCAGTAGCCAAGATTGGAGGATGGTTGCAGTTTCTAAACTAAAACCTCCATATTTGGGTTTAATTACAGCGCTGGCACTGTGCGATAAGGAGGTGGTTGCATTTTGGGCACTCGGTCTCCGGAAGGTTTGCCATTGCTGCTCTAGGGAATGGGGGAAGACAGGCTTTCCAGAGGTCCTTACTCCTTTTCTGTCATATCCCCATGGTCTCTTTGTTGCTGGACTTTCATGTTTTGGTCCTGCCTCCTGTGAAAGTAGTTTTGATCAATGTATTTATTTTAACAAGACCAACAAAAAACAGCCAGCCATAGTTGTAAGAAATCTTGTCAAAACAGTGTAGTCCCTTATGAATTAAGCCTCAACAACAATATAAAAGGTAGCCCCAGATAAGAAGCGGCTCTGGAAAAAAAGAGGAAAAAGTATAATTTAAAATATCTTGAAGAGTTGGGGAAGTAGCTTAGCAGCACAGTGCCTGCCTGGCAAGTTTGAGGCCTTGAGTTCAACTCCTGATGCCAAAAAAAAAAAAAAAATTCTTGAAGATAGACTGCAAATGTGGCTGAGCTGAGTGCCAGCACTGCAGCTTCTCCAGGGCAGAGTGCCCAGAGTCTGGAAACAGCATCTCGGAGAGGAAGTAGAGAGTGAGTGGTGGGCACGGGGGACCATGAGGGAGCTGACAGGGAACAAGATGGGGCCCAGTGCTGCAGGAGTAGTAGCTCCCAGCTGCAGCCGCAGGCTTCCCAGTGCAGTGGAGCTGCCCAGGTGGGGAAGCAGGAGACAGCTCTGCAGCTCACTGTGAAATGGGTACCAGACCTGGGCCGGGAGAGCCTTACGCAGCCAGAGGCAGCAGTGAGAATGCCAGACACTGTTTCCTGAGTGCACTGCCCCCCCCCCCGGCCAACAGTTGGTGGGTGAAGTGGATCAGCACCTGGTGGGCAGGGCTGTCAATTGTTTCAGAAGACTCAGTTGGAACTCCCGCAGCAGAACAGCCCACATCCAGGAGTGGAAGAAGGGGAGGGCGTCCAGTCACCATGGACTGCGAGCAGTTAGACCACAGATGAGAGAATTCTGCTGAGAAGTAGGGGCTGGGACCACCCAGACTCTGCTCCAGCGGCCGCCAGAAGCATCAGCCCTAGCTGCAAAGGACTGGAGGTGTCTCTCTGCTGTGTGGCTAGAGGTGGCAGTATGCAAGCAGCCAGTGGGAAGGGGTCACTGCCCCTGCCCTGTGACCAGCAGCACAAACAGGCAAGAGGCCTTAGCCAGCAGCAGGACAAGGGCACCACCCCATGACCAGCCCATAAGAGCAATCTTCTCTAGTTTCCCAAAGATTGAGTGTTCATCCTTTACCCTCCAGCCCAGCTTCTACTATATTTCTCTTCATTTATTTCTGTTTTATCCCATCTCTCTTAAATTTCCTCCCCACAGGGTAAAATCACTCTATTAAGGGAAAACTCACTGCAGGCAAGTTCCTAGTTTAGTTGGATTTTGTTGTATACTTGTAGATCTTGCTTGTATGGTTAAAGGTACCAAATTAATAGTTACTGCAGTTTGTCAGTTTCTAGGCTGTGCTTGATGCTATTGATCTTGCTAATTGAACTGCTTTAGCCAGGATGCCGCACCTGCTGTGATCAGTTGTACTTCCTTGTATAATATCCCAGTGATTGTCTGGGGTTGCAACCTTCACCATAGTCAAGTACCAAAGGACTAGGTGCTAAGGCAAATAGCAACTTCTGCTCCTTAATAGATCGGGAAGGTAGGGTTTTGGGATAGACACAAAAACCAAGAACCGCTTATACCTAGAAGATACATCTGAGGAATAGACATTTCCTAGGGGAGCCTGGATACTAGTGATAAAGCTACCTACCATATGAAATCTATAACAACAAAGAAAAGAAAATAAAATTTTAAAAAAGAAAATGACAAGAAACAAGCAAAATGCAACCTCAAACCTCCAACCCACCTAGGAGAAGTTCAGGGGACAATGAGATAGAGGAAATCAGAAGCCACCCACCTAAACTTTCTAAAATGAGAGCAGCAAAGTAAAAAACAGATGGGTGAGGCTGTAGAGAAAATAATATCTCAGATTTAAAAAGATCAAAATAAAGGACATGCGCAATGAGTCTAGTGTAGACACAGATCAAAAAATAGAAGAGCTTAAAGCAATGGAAATCATGAATTGGCCAACATAGGAAAGAAATGGAATCCATGAAACAGATTCAAACAGATATCCAGGTGATTAAAAACTCCACTGAAAGTATATGCAACTGATTGAACAAAAGTGAGGATAGAATATTAGATCTACAAGACAGGATTGCAGTTAGTGACCATGAGAAGAAATACATCTTAAAAATAACAAGGGACCGTGATAAATCAATCCAACAGCTGCAAGATGATGCAAAGAACAACAACATAAGATTGACTGGAGTCAATGAGAAGACCAGAGACAGCGCAAAAACAGTCATAAAAAACCTGTTCACAGAACTAATAGCACAAAACTTCCCAAACATGGAAAAAGATTTTGACATACATATAAGTGAGGCATATAGAACTCTAAATAGCCATAACCAAAATAAATCTCCACTAAGGCATATAATAATCAAGATTCCAGAAATTCAGCACAAGAACAGAATATTAAAAGCTGTTAGAGGGCCAGGGATTTAGCTCAGTGGCGTCACACCTGCCTCGCAGGCACAAGGTCCTGAGTTCAGGCCGGGGATTTAGCTCAGTGGTTCCGCCGCTTGTCTTGCAAGCGCAAGGACCCGAGTTCAATCCCTGGTACCAAAAAGCAAAACAGAACAAAAAACAAGGTCCTGAGTTCGATCCCTGGTACCCCCCCCCCGCAAATGTAAAAAGCTGTTAGAAAAAAGAAACATCAACTATAAAGGAAAACCCATCAGAATCATAGCAGACTTCCCAACTTAAACCTTTAAGGCAAAGAGAGCTTGGGGTGAAGAAGTGTTCTGAAGGGCAATTTAGAAAGAGATAATGAAAACTACAATTCCAAGAACACCAACAAAAGCCACCAAGCAGGGCAAACAGAGGGGAAAGACAAGGAGCCAACAGCAGGAAGAAACTATGACAAGGATAAGCCAATACATATCAGTTATAACCATCAATGTAAATGGTCTCAATTCACCAATCAAAAGAAATAGACTGCCAGAATGGATCAAGAAGCAAGATCCAACAATATGCTGCATACGAGAAACACATTTAACTCAAAAGAAATTCATAGACTGAAAGTTGAAAGATGGAAAAAATATTTCATGTGACAAGAACCCAGAAAAGGGCAGGGGTAGCTGTATTTGAAGACGATGTGAACTTCAAGCCAAGACTGATCAAAAGAGACAAAGAAGGTCACTACACTCTTGTTAAGGGAAAACTCTAAGAAGAAGAGATAACAATCATAAATATAAATGCACCAAATACCAGTGCACCTAACTATATAAAACAAATATTAATGGACATGAAAAATCTAATAAACACTAAAACACTTGCAATGGGGGAACTCAATATCCCACTGTCAAAAATAGACCAACTAGACAAAAAACCAGCAATCCTCATCAAAATAGTATTAGCATACCTCGCAGAGCTAGAAAAAACATTCCTAAAACTCATTTGGAATCACAAATGACAGAATAGCAAAAAACAATTCTAGGCAACAAAGGCAAGGGAGGAGGCATTACAATCCTCAACTTGAAATTATATAACAAAGCTACTGTGATTAAAAACAGCATGATACTGGCAAAAAATAAAAACAGACTAGAGGATCAATGGAAAAAATCAGAAGATGCAGAAACAACTCTAAACATACTAAGCCGCCTTATCCCCAACAAAGGAGCCAAACACCTTCACTGGAAGAGTGATAGCCTCTTTAATAAGTGATACTGGAAAAACTGGCTTTCTACATGCTGAGGACTAAAACTAGACACATGTCTGTCACCATACACTAAACTAAAATCAAAATGGATCAAAGATCTAAATATTAAAACAGAAACACTAAATCTGCTGGAAGATAAAATAGAACTCTTGAAGACATAGCTGTAAGCAAAGACTTCATGAACAAAACCCCAGTTGCATGGGAAAACATAACAAAGAATCGACAACTGGGATTATATCCTGTTAAAAGGCTTTGAACAGCAAAAGAAATCACCACCAGAGTGAAGAGACAAACTACAAGAGGGAAAAAATTGTAGTCAGTTGTTCCTCAAAGGACTCATCTAGAATATATGAAAAAACTAAAAAATCAGACCCCCAAATTTAAAGACTCAATCCAAAAATGGGCATCTGAAATGAGTAGACACTTCTCGGATGAAGAAGTAGAAACAGCAAATAAAAATATGAAGAAATGTTAAGCATCACTGGTCATTTGAGTGATGCAAATTAAAACAGAGATTCCACCTCATTCTAGAAAGAATGGCTATTATTAAGAAATCAACCAACACCAAATGCTGGCGGGACTGTGGGGTTAAAGGAACCCTTCTCCACTATTGGAGTGTAGACTGGTGCAACCACTGTGGATTAGAGGTCCCATTTGACCTAGCTATTCCCTTTCTGGGTATCTTCCTGAATTCAAAGCATCATACCACAGTGATATATGTGCACCTATGTTTATAATGGCACAGTTTGTAATAGCTAAATCTTGGAAACAGCCCAAATGCCCATCAACTGATGAATGGATAAAAAAGATGTGGTTTTCTTTATACAGTGGAGTACTACTTAGCCAAAAAGAAGGATAAACTTGAGACATTTCTAAGTTAATGGATGTATGACTATACTGCTATGTGAATTAAATCAGACACATGTAAATACCACATTCTCTGGTGTGAGAAACTGAAAGTATAAATAAGGAACAAAATGTATAATAGATAATATGAAATAAGAAAGGGTTGAAAAGGAAAGGCAAGCTAGGGAGGGGGAGAGGGTGAAAGGAAGGGACAAGAGAAAACGAATAGAAGGAAAAAAATGGAAAGAAAGCTTTTGTAAATGAGGGGAAGAGGGTTGAAGGGAAGGAGGGAAATGGGGAAAAAAAAGGAATGAAGATATAGCATAAATTCCCTATGATGAATGTGATCATTATGTGTATCTAAATTGTACCAATAAAATTAATAAAACAAGACTAACAGAAATAATGTGTAATGTATATATGTATATGCTTTTAATAGCATTTTTCTCTTGGAATTCATTTGAAATGATTCCCAATCTACATTCACATTTTGTTTTGGGGCACTTTGCAGTTTTAAGTTCAACATTAGAACAGATGATTGAAGTATTAGTTCAGAATAAATTGTATTTTTATAGGTTAGATTATGAAGTATGAGATTCATAGCTTCATTGGTGATTATTTTCTCTCTAAAGTACCATAATATGATAATAAAGGTTTTTTTCCTCTTTATTTCAGTGGAGAAACAAGACTTAACAAAGAGAAGATACTTCAAGGTTAGTAAAATCCAATTTCTACTTTAGCTTTCTGTTTTAGTGTCAGTGTGCTATATGCGTCTATCAGATCTGGTAGGGTAGGTTGGACTTGCATGGTCCTGGGATTGAGCTATACTAGGTTACACAATTAAAGTATCGTAACAACCATGGCTGTGATTAGAGCAGTTGAAATCCAAGAGAAATAAGTCCCTGACCTGAACTTGATGTGAAGAACACTTCTCCAACTTTTTCTCTATGCCTGCTCCAGTGGCCTGTTCAGCTAACTCAAGAGCTACACTGGTCTTAGGTGTCTTAGATTATGACAGCCTAGATTTAAAATGATCTCATAGTTAGAAAGCTTATTGGGTATTGTTAGTGGCATTTTGCTGCTAAGATAATTATTTCAGTGATGACAGAGAAGAGTTTCGGAGAGCGCTCCCGTCCTGTGGGTGCCCCTTCCCCTCCCTTGTCTGTGGAAGTGGACGTGGACCTTAGACTGCCATGACCCAGCTGGTCTGGCTTTGTCAGAGTACCTTGGGTGAACTTCCAGCTGGACGTGCTGTTTTTGTGCTGTGATAATGAAAGCATTTAGTTTTATTTCTTGGGGTAGGGGTCTGCAGGGTTGGCGGAAGCTGGCTTTCGTTCCCAGTGTGCCTGGCCCCTGTTTCTGGGGTGATCAGGTCCGACACTGGTGCAGGCCTTTGCTTTCAGTCACATGTGGCCACCGGGCTCCTCCTGGAACTCAGTCCCTGACTGCCTGGTCTTCAGTATTCATTTGTCTTACTTCATTAGAAGCTGACCATGGGATGTGAATAAATGTGTTGTGTTCACATTCATTTTGAAGTTTACTTTGTAAGGTGGATGCTTATTTCTTCTTGTTGTTGTTAATGCAGTCTTTCAGCAGGCAATAGTCTGGTTATTCTGGTTATTGGTGTGTTTGGACTTTTTCATTCTTTCCCCCTTTTTAGTCTTCCTCTTTATTCTCACTTGCCTCTGTTTAAGGGCTTATTTTTCTTTCTGTTTTCTTTTAGTCCTCTCTTCCCTTCCCCACTGGTTGTGAAATGGTACGCCACTCCTGTCTGTTAATGGTTGCCTGTACCCTTTTCCTGTTGGTGCCTAGTCACTTTGGGAGGCTATAACGAATCACCGGAGGTGGAGTAGCTCAGACACAGTCAGCGTCACAGCTGTGGAGGTCAGAAGTCTCAGTCCAGGTGCCCCAGTCCAGTGTCTGCAGGCCTGCTTCCTGGCATGCACACTCCTCCCTCTAACTCCATCTGCCCAGGCAAAGAACAGAGCAAGGGCCATCTCTTCTCAGGAAGATGCTCATCTTCTCAGGAGGGCTCCGCCTTGAGATCTGAATGCCTCCTCCTGCCACCATTGTAAGGTCAGAATTTTAGCATCCTGATTTTAGAGACATGAGCATTCACTCCAGCATGCCCTCCTGAAAACACAAGGAACTTATGTTCATATCGTCTAGTATCTTAGTCATTTTTTTTTTACTGATTATTGTTTTCATTTGTTTTTTAGGCAGTCTGTTTAGATTTACACATACACTTATCAGATTCTTTGCTCATTGTTTTTTTAAAATCTCAGACTTTCTTTCCAGAAGTATATTCTTTGAAAGGTCCTCTATTGTGTGTAGACTGACTGATGGCAAAGATGAGCTTCAATCAGTGTCACCGTTCTGGACTGAAGCCTTTTTTTGTTTTTTGAGACAGGGTCTCACTAAGTAGTTCAGGCTGCCCTTGAACTCACTATGTAGCCCAGGCTGGCCCTGAACTCATGGTGATCTGCCTGCCTCAGCCTCCTGAGTGCTGGGGTTACAGGTGTGTGCCACCATGCCTGGCTTTTTCTCTTTTCTCTTTTCTTTTCTTTTTGCTGTGAAGAAGTCCCTTGTCAGTCAAATGGTATTCCGTGATTGGCAATCTCTCTCTCTCAATGACTACTTCTTTTGCTTTAGCTTTATTTCATCATTGTCATTTAACGTTTGATTTCTAAAACATTAAAAACATTTTAAGGGTTCTGTATTACAGAAATTAAACAATACTGATAACCATTGTTTTCAGTGTTTGACCACAGTCACTAGAGAAACAGCGTCTGGCAGAGTCCCATCTTTGGGGCGCACCCTCCAAGGGAGTCACGCCATGGTGTTGGCGACTGCTGGTCCCTCTTGAGCGTTGCTGTGTGCTCACTGTGCTTCTAGGCACGCCCAGCTAGAGCAGTTACGTGCCTGCCTTCATGACGTGTAGTGCCGGCTTCTCCCACCTCAGTTAACCAGTGAAGCAAAGGTATCAGCCATAGCTGACTTGGCTTCAGGATAGCCATTTGGTAGGCGCCGTGCTGTTTCCCTGGGGGTGCCGGTAGATGAATAGAGATGGCTTCCCCAGAATCAGTGAAGAGCTGGGCCCCAGCATGCCCCACTTTGCAGGCACAGTAAAATCTCTGTGTAAGGCAGGAGACGAGATGAACAGGGAGCTTCCAACCTTGGCAGGAATGTCACCGTAGCTGTACTCTGTCCTTCAGATGGATCGCATCAGGGTGGCTTTCTGAGACTCCTCTTTGGGAGCTGCTTTTGTCATCTTTTGCAGTCTTATCACACTCAGTGTCAAACTGCGTCTTTCAGGGTCTCTCCATTTTCCATGTTTGGGATCACTGCCACCGGCTTCTGAGCTGAACATTTGTGTGGCCGATCTTTTAGCTGTTCACCACTTCACTAAGCTATTTTATGAGTGCAGGATCAGCAGCTACAAGCGAAGTGAGTCTGTTTCTGTGCTCAGGTAAAGGCTCCACATGGAGCCTTATCTGCCCTGCTGTAGAAAATGCTGGTGATGCCAAATGAGAAGAGGGTGGCCGCCAGTCACATGCCCCCAGGACAGCGAGTTGCCATGGCTGTGCCCACAGACCAAGGTGCCCATGTCCACTCTGCAGACAGTGACTGGGCCTTCACTCAGCCTCTGTGACTGCTGTATTTATTTTTTGTTTTTTTGAGACAGGGTCTCACTGTGTAGTCCAGGCTAGCTTTGAATTCCTGGTGATCCTCCTGCCTCAGCCTCCCAGTTACTGGGATTAATCATGCCTGGCCATAACTGCTTTAAAATCTTCCCTGATTTGGCTGTTTGTCAGTTTCCCTTAGTATACCTCAGGGATTAAAAAGTAACCTGTGGGATACATTGTGTTTCCTTTATCTGTAGATTGGTGTCTTCCTCATTTTAGGAAGACTCAGCCAGTGCCTCTTCATGCTTGTTCCTCTGTTTGCCTTGCTTGGTTTCTGGAGTTCCTGGAGTTCCGTTAGATGCACACAGCAGGTTGAGCTGCAGGTGTCACCCTGAGTCATGTGTCGAAGTCCTCACCCTGTAGTGATGTAGGGCAGCGGTTAGTCTTCACGCATGCGGCTTGTAGAGACCCCCCCCAAGCCCCCACGCCCTCTTTCTGCCATTTGTGTTAGTGAGAAGTCAGCAGCTGCACCCCAGAAGAGGAGCTCCCAGGGCCCAGCCTTGCTGACCTAATCTGTGAGACTTTGTCCAGAGACTCACATCAAGACAGCACATGTGAGGGCTCCTCTGTAGGGAACAGGGAAAGGGGACGTTACCAGAGCCCCTGCAGTGGGGGCCTGGTCTCCTGTGAGCCACTACAACACAAAGTGAATTAAAGAATAAAGACAGGAAATGATACAGAGAAGCTGGGTGTTCGGCCTGATCGGTGCTGCTCTGGGTAGCAAAGACAAAGGCACCCGAGCTCACCACTGTTCATTGGGTTCATAGGGAGTACCAGATGACTTGGAGGGTAGTGATAATCCTAAATTGACAAGGAATTTATGCTGATGAGGATCTTAGGTCCATGAAGAGCTTATGTTGATGAGGACAGTGAGATGAGCAAAATGCTCTTAGAACAGTAGGTGGGATGAGTTAAGCTGATAAGGAATTTGCCCCTCCCAGGTGAAACCTTTCTCTTTCTGTATTAATGCTCCGCTCTGTTCTCAAGGAACCAGGGTGCCTTCAGCTGATGTAATCTTGCCCTAGAGCATCACAGTATCAGCAGACCATTGAGGCCACAGACAGCCCTAATCATATTTTAATTATGAAATGATTTTTTTCCCCAAAATTATGTAGAATGGCTACCAACACTCCTCATTCTCTCCTTCATATCCCAGATGTGCCTTTCCCCTGGGTAACACCTACTTGCTGGAAACCAAACCTTGCTTTATCCTCAGAGGGTTTTTCCCACCTTGGCAGTTGTGTTTTTTGTTATTAAAAGATTTATTTGGTTACTTTAGAAAGTTGTCTGGTTGTTTCTGATGCTTCCTGTTAATTGCTTACTTTTGTGAATCTGCCTTTATGTCTTTTTTGGTTTGATTTTTGGTTTTTTGAGACAGGGTCTCACTCTATAGTTCAAACTGGCCTTGAACTTGCAGTGATCCTCCTGCCTCAGCCTCCCGAGTGCTGGGATTACAGGCATGCATCACTACACGCAGCTTGCCTTTATGTCTTATTCATAGTTATTTTATAGTCTGTATTTGCTTGTTTTAATGTGTAAAATCTTAATGGTTCTAAGTCTGTTATTTCTATTGATTTCATTCATGAGGGATTTGTGTGTGTTGATCTTTGCCTCAACTATCATTTGCTCTAAACTAGAGGGAAACTCGCTGTCCTCTGTGGAGAATGGTTTGCTCTGAGAAGGCTTTGCATGTGATTTCTCCCTGCCCTGAGCCTGCCTCAGTTTCCCCACAGGACTCCTTGCTTCTCTTCAGCTCGACACGCCACCCAGACCCGCCAGCTTGAGAGAGAGAGAGAACAAATGAGAACAGCTCCAGTTGTCTCTCAGCCCCAGGTTGCAGTCCGGGGTCTTTGGGCTTCTCTTTGTGCCTGGCCAGTTCTCCACATCCAGAGCCCAGTCACAAAAATGCACACTGCTTCTGTGTTTTGTAGCGGGAAGCCTGTAGAGTGTCTTAATCAACTTTGCTGCTGAAATTGAGGTTTGAGAGGATATTTTAAATGAAAAGGAAAGTGGAGGCAGGGAGGGAA